TTCATTTTTGCTTTTGTTTCCCTTGCCTCCAGAGTCATGTTGAGTAAGAAGTTGCTGCGGCCAAGATCAAAGACGTTTTTGCCTGCTTTCTCCTCGTGGATTTTGATGGCTTCCTGTCTTATGTTTAGGTCTTTCATCCATTTTGAGTTTATTTTTGTGTCTGGTGTAAGAAAGTGGTCCAGGTTCATTCTTCTGCATGTCGCTGTCCAGTTTTCCCAGCACCATTTGCTGAAGAGACTGTCTTTACTCCAATGGATATTCTTTCCTGCTTTGTCAAAGATTAGTTGGTCGTATGTTTGTGGGTCCATTTCTGGGTTCTCTATTCTGTTCCAATGATCTGAGTGTCTGTTCTTATGCCAGTACCATGCTGTCTTGATGGTTACAGCTTTGTAGTATAGCTTGAAGTCTGGGATTGTGATGCCTCCTGCTTTGGTTTTCTTTTTCAAGATTGCTTTGGCTATTCGGGGTCTTTTCTGATTCCACACAAATTTTAGGATTATTTGTTCTAGCTCTGTGAAGAATGCCGGTGTTATTTTGATAGGGATTGCATTGAATATATAGATTGCTTTGGATAGTATCGACGTTTTAACAATATTTGTTCTTCCTATCCGGAAGCATGGAAACTTTTTCCATTTAAAAAAAATTTTTTTAACATTTATTTACTTTTTGAGAGACAGAGAGATACAAAGTATGAGTGAGGGAGGAGCAAAGAGGGAGGGAATCCCAGATTCCAAAGCAGGCTCCAGGCTCTGAGCTCAACACAGGGCTCGAACTTACAAACTGCAAGATCATGACCTGAGCTGAAGGCAGATGTTCAACTGACTGAGTCACCCAGGCCACCCCCACAGATGACATGTATTGAACATTTATCATGAGGCAGCTACTTCAAATCCAGTATCTCGGCTAATCCTCCCAATGACGTTGAGAGTTGAAAATTACTAACTCACTTTACCAGTGGGGAAACTGAGGCCCAGGGAGGCAAATTAACTTGCTCAAGATCACTCTCCAGTCCACGCTTTGACACAAGCTTCCTGTGGGCCCTGGGCTAGTCACAACCTTACTTTGGGTCTTGGGTTTTCCCATTATAATATGCTAGGCTTAGAGGAGCATTCTGGTAGTTTAAGAAGCTCAGAGGCATGTTCACTGTTGGACAAGCCACCCCAAAGCCCACTGTGTCTTCTCTGCTCACACCCTCTCGTGTTCATACCCACACGATCTTTGTGGGTGCTCCTCCTATGTGCATGTCCCTGCTCACGCATGCCTCCAACCTGTGTTCTGACTCTGCCCAACAGATGATCAAATCCCTGAAGAAGGCTATGGCCCCAGTCCTGAGTGATGTAACTGTGGAGTGGGTCTTCCCTGAGACCACCGAGGTCCTAATCTCGCCTGTCAGCACCAGCTGCCTCTTCCCTGGAGAGCGGCTGGTGGGGTATGGCATTGTGTGTGATGCCTCCTTATACATCTCCCATCCCAGATATGTAAGTATCTTAGACATTCCAGAACCTTGCCCACAAAGCCATCCTTAGCTGGAAAGACTACTGGGAACTAGGAACTAATTGGATCTGGTGTTTACAGTTGTGGGGCATGGTGGCCAGGCCAAGGGCATGTGGTCATGATGACATTGCTTGGCTAAGTGCTATCATCGCAATACATGGTTCTTAAGATCCCCTGCAGCAGAAAACTTGGGGTAACGCGCTTAAAATGCAGACTCCAACCTCCAACCTGGGCCTACTGAATCAAAGTCTTTGAGGGTAAGGCCTAGGAACCTATATTTTATATAATCTCCTCAAGATGATTTTGATAAACAATTCATTTCAGAATAACTGCGTTCAGGTTTCTTTCCCCAAACACTCTATTCAGGTCATGTCTCCTCAGATGAGTTTGTGTTTTATTTACATGGATAATTCTCTTGTATGTGGTGACAGACGTGAGATAAAAGTGAGGAATGTCTATAAGGAAGGTGGAGTTCATGTTAAAATGTGGGAGATTGCCTGAGAAGCTATTTCCCCATCCATCTTCCCTCTTTAGTGAGTCTCTCCTCTCCTGCTTGAAGGATTTGTCCTCTTGTTTTATTTTTAAGCAGGAGTCACAAACTCATTGCCTAGAGGGATTGTGCAGGTATAAAATGATTGAAATTAACTTATAAAAATAAAAGGGAAAATGCCATGAAGGGTAGCAGTGATCACTGAGTCCATAGAAAGGCTATAAGGAGTGATAAGGAATATGGCAAATTGGACAGCATGCACCCATCTAAATTGGATGGTCCCTACCCAGCTCTAACAAACTGTTCCCATGCAGGAATGTGGGCTCTGTGTTAAATGTGTTTTCAGTCTTACAAGAGAAGTTAGAATTTTATGTGCAATTTCCAGATTTTAGAATGTTATAGAATCTCCTAAGAATCGTGGTCAGGGTAATGGTTAATGTGTTGTGGAGAGCAGGGCATTCAAATGCAGGGAGAAGTTGGTCAGTCTTTGAACAGTATAGACCCTTCTCGGAGGTCTGGAGGCAGCAGATCACCAGCAGACCCTACCACTAGAAGGGACCATCAAATCCCTTCCCTTTCCTTACTCATGAGAATGGCAAATTTTCTCCCACTCTTACCAAGGCTGTTGGGTAAGGGTACCCTTGTATATCGTGGTGGAAACATGACTTTTCCCCCTGGAAAGCAATCTAGAAATAACTAATGAAATTTGAAATACATAACTTTTCAGCCCAGAAATCCCTCCTAAGAATCTAACACATAGAAATAAAAGTGATGTAATGGATTCGTGCCCAAGGATGCACCATAGCAATTTTTTATGGCGGCAAAAATAAATGGCCACAAAGTGAATGCTTAAAAATAAGGGGTGGGAGAATATTTATTCAGTCAATTGTTAAAAAGAATAGTTGATATGCAGGATTTCCAAAATGTTTTAAGTGCAAAATTCAAGATACTGATAAATGTAAGTAATACAGTCCAGCTTTGGTAGAATAAAAGTGACCCTCCAAAGCCCTTATGTTTTATATATATATTTATGTCATGGAGAATGGAATGGAAGGAACAGATGGTTCATTCTGTTAATTTTGATGACCTATTTGGAGACAGCAGTGGCATTTAGAATGACATTTTTAAACATGTTTCAATAAATAAGATAATTAAAAATATAAATAGTATAAATGATATGGAGAGTCAATGCCATTCACCATCTCTTAAACAGAAGTCTGCCTAAACAAATCAAGCAAGCAAAAAGCTTTCCTGTTATTCCAGATCTTCAAAGATTGAATGTCTGTCACCTCCTGTCACATGCTTGCTGCCCTGCACATGTTCTTTCCGACACCTAGTCTCACTCTCTGCCCTCTTCTCTCTCCCTCCCTCCAGGACAAAAGGAGACGATACAGCATGTTGCACTCTCAAGAGTCCAGCAGCTCTGTCTTCTACCACTCACAGGACGAGGGGCCCAGCCCAGACAGCAGGGACTGTGTCAGGGGCATGGGCGCGCCCTGCAGCCCAAGGCAGCCCAAAGATGCCCAGCCATCCACCGGAGACCCCATCGCCAATCTTGGTTAGCTTGTGCTCCACTCTCTCTTCCAGGGAGGCCATGGTTGCTACATTTTACTATGCAGTTACTATGTGCTAAGCTGTTTTATACAAACAATCTCACTGCAGCTGTGCAGATGAGTACTGCTCTCCCTATCTGCAGATGATGAAATGGAGGCTTGGCGACTTTAAACAATTTGGCCAAATCATGAAACTTGAAAGAGGGGGAGGGTACAGACAAAGGGTCTGAGAGCTGTCTGGACCCAAAACTTCTTTATGGTGTTAATTTCTGGTCCTAGGTATTTATTTATTTACTTACTTACTTTGGGGGGGGGGGCTCAAGTGAGCAAGGGTGGAGAGAGAGAATCACACGAGGGGCAGAGAAAGAGAAGGGATCACCTACTAAGGCTAGGCTACCCAACACAGATCTGGGAAGCAAAGATAACCCAAATGTGGACTCCTGTCCTTCAGAAGCTCTCCGCCTAGTGAAACAGATACAATTGGCCCTAACTCTGATAGAAGCAGAGTGACAGGGACCACAGGAAAGTTTAACAAGCTGTGAGGGTCCCAAGAAAAGACACATCGGTAGAGGATATCAACAAAGACATAATGAGGGCACTGATTCTTAGAAGCGGGAAGAGAGGAGATTCCAGGCAGCAGAAATGGACCTGAGATGTGGAAGTGTGACACCTAGAAAACACATACACAACTGATTACTCATCTGGCATATTTGGAGCACATAATACATTGAAAAAGGAGCAGAAAGGACAGTAGCTGGGTAGATGGATTGGGACCAGATTAGGCAAGGCTTTAAATGCCAGGTGAGCCGAGACACCTGCAAATCTTTCACCAGGCAAGAGGTAGAAAATGCAAGACGGTTCCAAGCAGGAAAGGAGCATACAAGCCCCTCTCTCCTTCCCCACTGTTCTCCACCCTGATGGCTCCCCTGTCACCACCCTACCCAGGTCTGGACTTCTCCCAGCGACGGCGGGCATATAGCACCAACCAGATCACCAACCACAAGCCTTCCCCAAGGGCCACCACAGCCAGCGACCCCACAGTGCCTGCCAGGAGATACCCACTGCGGAAAGCCAAGCCGCAGGATCTCACCAACCAGACCAGCACAGAGGCCTCGTGGTGGCAGATTGATCTGCAGGTACCAAGCAGGGCAAGTTGGAGCTGGGGGAGACCATAGATGGGGAGAGAGCTGTGTGTCCTGCTTTAGCCACAAGGATGGGGCCTTTTCTGCCACATCCTATTCTGCCAAACAAGTCACTTCCTCTTCATTTTTCTGGATCTTCACCTGCCTGACCCCCTTTCTAATAATGGTACCCATTGGCCAGTGACATCACTCATTCCATGCACACAAACACCTCCCAGCCAGCAGGGAGCATCGAAGCGGGTGGGGGAGCTGACCGCCCCCACTCTGTACAGATGTGGAAATTGAGGGCCAGAAAGGTAAAGTGACTTATCCAGGGTCATGTAGCCAGTCGGGGGACTGTGACCCAGGACCCTCTCCCTACAAAGCTCCTGCTTCCCTCCCTCCATCACACTGCACCTTCTGCAAATCCTAAGTGTTGCACATTCACCCCTGGCAGAGATCATTGCAGAGTTAGAGCCAGAGCAGGACCAGTCACCCGCCATTCAGCTAGACCAGAGTGTCTCCGCCTCAGCACTATGACATGATAATTCTTTGTGGCCGGCGCTGTCCTGTGTTTTGTAGAATGTTTGGCAGCAGCCCTGGCCTCTACCAACTGAAATGCACCCCCAATCACCATAACCAAAAACAGTCACTGCCAAATCCCCCTGGGGAAGAGGGTAGAGTCACCAGACAGAGAAACACTGTCCTAAACCAGATTGGGGTTTCTTATTATCTGCATGCCTTTCTCCCATTTTCTTAGGAATGGGTTTCATGTAGCTTTGTCATCATTAGGTCCTGGTTCCATAAAAGCAGCCGTTACTTCTCCCATGCCACCCACCGCCCCCTCCATCCCCGCCCCTCCGTAAGCTCCTGCCCTCCCCCCCAGGGCAGAGACTCGGCCACCTCGGCCCTTGTCTGTGCTTAGCCAGTTGGAAGACACTACCCTTGGACTCAGGCAGACTCTGCTCCTTAAGCATGTTGCTTACCCTCTCTGAGCCCTGATTTTCCCTTCTGTGAAATGGGGAGAATCGCTTGTACAGATGATTGAGCTAATAACAGCCATCAACAGATTTTTTTGAGAGCCAACTGTAGTGGAAGGCTCTTGCAGGCAATGGCTGATAAGAGATGAAGTGCCCTGGAGCAGCAGCTGGTATGCAGTAGGTGTCCCTTAGATGCACCTCTACCTGGTGAGAGCTCTGGGCAGCTTAGCATCTGCTCCCTCCTGCTTGCTTCTGGCCCATCTTTGCTCGTCTCTCCCTGAGCCCCTGCTTGGCTTCTCCAGTCTGACTCTCCCCAGCATGCTGGTACAAACGCACACACATGCATATGCAAGCACACACACGTACACACTCCCTGCAGCCTCTGGCTGGGTGAAGGACTGCATCTTAGACCAATCTGTTACCATGGAAGCTGTAGCAGCGTCTGTTTCTTGCTGTGGCTGTGATGTTGGGGCAGGGGTGAGGGGAATCCCAGTCTGTCATGGGAGAGGGGGACTAAGGATCCCTTGGGACCCAGCAGCCCTGGCTGGGTACCAGCTCCCATCAGGGACATCCTAACAATGACCAACGGTCTTTTCCTTCTCCCACACCTTTGTACTGTCCCCAGCCCCAGAGGAGATGGGAAGGAGGACCCCGGCCCCTGCCCTAAGGAGTCCCCATCTAATGGAGAGGCACAGTCCTCTTCTCAGTAAATACTTGATAGAGATGAGGAAGATTCCATGGTTAACTGTTGACCTTAAAACCTAAGAGGCGCTTTCTCTGTTTCACCTTGTAAGTGCCTTTGGCCTCTCCCAATCCGCTCCCCCTACCAAGCATAGCAAGTTTCCCGGAGGCACAAAATTCATTTTTAATTAATACTCTTTAATTACAGAAGCACTACACATTCAGAGTTTTCAATAAAAACCCTCAAACAGTGCAGTCAGGTATAAAGTAAAACTAACATCACCCCTTCCCTGTGCCCAAACCCACTGGATTTTCAGTGTTTCCTTTCAGAAGTACTACAAAGACACACACACACACACACGTTTTGAAGAATCACATTATAAATCTCCAATCTATCTAATTATTATTGGATCTCTCCAAAGTCCATAAGTAAATCTCTGATTTACTTTGTTAATGTCTTTTTTTAAGTTTATTTATTTATTTTGAGGCAGAAAGAGAGAGAGAACGAGTGGAGGGGGGGGCAGAGGATCTGAAGCGGGCTCTGTGCTGACAGCAGAGAGCCCAACATGGTGCTTAAACTTAGGAGCAGTGAAATCATGAGTCAAGCCGAAGTCGGGCGTTTAACTGGAGGACCCATCCAGGTGCCCCTTTTTAATTCACTTTTCTGTATACAGTAAAATTCCTCTTCTTGGTGAATTGTTCTGTGACTTTTGACAAACGCATAGTCCTGTAACTATCTCCACAATCAAAATACCGAACAGTTGCAAGTTACTTTTTTAAAATATGTTTGATCTCGGACAGCTTACCACGTTGGTAGGAAGAGATCTGCCACTTTGATTTCTGGGTTGTGTGGCGTTTCGTTGTATGGATCTACCATAATAACTTATTTGTCAACCCCTATTGATGCACGTTTTTGCAGGGTCCAGATTTTTCACTTTTACAAACAATACTGCAACAAATCTACAGTACGTGCACGTAGATATCTGCATCCTTGTGTGTTCCACAGAATTAAATTTCTGAAAATGGAATTGTTGGGTCAAAGGAGCCTGTGCACATTTCATGTTGATAGCACACTGCTAAAGGTTCCTCCCACAGGCGTGCACCGGCTTACGCCCACATCGACAGTCCAAGAGAGAGACCCTACCCTGTCTCCCCAATTAGCCACAATGTGTGTCATCAAATGTTTAAGTATTTGCCAATCTGGAAAACGGAAAAAAATCATAACTTATTTTAATTTAGAGCAATGCTCATGAAGCAGAACATTTCTTCATGGGTTTATTTGATACATTTTGAATTGCCTGTAGATACCCTGAACCCACATTCTACCTCTGCCCTCCTGCCCCAGTGATTTACAAGCGCTTTTTCTTGAAAATGATCTTTGTTATGCATGTTGCAAATATATTTCCCAGTTTATCCCTTGCCTTTTGATGTTTTTTTTTTTTTTGTACCAGCACAAGAACAGACAGATTAAATGCACAAAACAGAAGAGAAAGTCCAGAAATAAAACCAAATGTACATGAGAGCTTTGACAGGAGAGAGGCAGGGAACTGATAAACCCTAGAAACTGAATGAATGGACCATATTCAGGAAGCAGTGTTGAGATCTGTACTACTCAGAAAATCAAGGAAAAGGCTGGTTTCTACTTCTTGACACCAAAATAAATTTCATGTGAATCAAAGATTTAAGCAAACAAAAATAAATCATAAAAATTCCAGAAGAGTTTTTTTGAGTGGGAAAGACCTTTTAAGCATGACATATGAGAAGACATAAGGAAAACGCTGATAATTTTAGCCTCCTCCCAACACACACACAAAGTTTTAAACTTTATGGCAAAAAAAAAAAAAAAAAAGTGGATTTAGAGTATTATCCATGGTATGTGATTTTCCATGGTTTTCCATGCTTTGGGCTTTATCCATGCTTTGGGATTGTTTGTGTTGATGGTTCCTCATGGGTAGTACAGAGTAGGTTATGTGTCCTTGGGAACCGCAGGAGCTGAAGTGCCCAGGGAAAGAGCTGTGGCTAGGGGTGGAGGGAAGAGGGCAGCCACCAGGAGCTCAGCCTCCTCCCTTCCCTCTTGCACTCCTAGCCCTTGCTCAACAGCGGTCCGGACCTGAGCCAGGGCCCCAAACTCCGCGGCCCAGGTGCCCGCAGGCCGTCTCTGCTGCCCCAAGGCTGCCAGCCCAGCCTGCCCTCCAGCCAGGAGACCCAGACCTGGAGCCCCATGAAAGAGCCCGATCTTGGGTTTAACCTGAAGCCTGCTTCAGACAGCCGTAGCCCTGGGGACCTGGGTAAGTGCCTGCAGGGTCCAGGACCCGACTGGGGACAGGAAGGAATCCTTCACCTTCAGATGATAGGACTGATGGCAAATGCCTTCCTCTGTGCCCTTGAGGGAGAAGGATCCGTTATTGCCCATCCCTGCCAGAGAACCTCACTCTCCCAATCAACCTAGCCCTTGGGCTGGCTGTGAGGATCCCAGATGTCCCTGAGGCTGCATTCTTGCGCCCAAGTGTCCCCACACCATTCTATCTGGCCACCTCAAGTACTGGATTCCTGGGAGGTGGGTCTGCCCCATTTTGGGGAGAAGCCATACCCTCCAGCTGTCCTAGGGAAGGAATCCTGTGTTCCTTGAGGTGGGGAGGGTCGGGGAAGACAGTACTTGCTTAGGGATGTCTGCCCCCTGGGGAGGAATGATGTCCCTAGGGATTGACCCTCCGTGCCCCAGCCCAGAGCACCACCTGCTTGTCCCTCCACTCGCAGAACCGTCCCATCACCCTTCCACCTTCGAGACCGAGACGTCCTCGGACTGGGAACCCCTGGCCGAGTCCGAGGATCGGGTCAGTCCCAGCAGGCCCCCTACCCCAGGCCCGGTGCTGGGCAAGGCCGTGGTCAAGGGCCTGCGCGACAGCCAACGTTTGCAGTGGGAAGTGAGCTTTGAGCTGGGGCCCCCCGGCCCGGAGAGGGGAGGGGCACACGAGGCCGACCTGTGGAGCGAGACCTTCCACCACCTGGCGGCCCGCGCCATCATCCGCGACTTCGAGCAGCTGGCGGAGCGCGAGAACGAGATCGAGCAAGGTGAGCCCCACGGCCTGCGTACTCCTATCTGCCCTCCCGGAGCCCCTCCTCTCAGCCCCGCCCAATGCCCATCCCACTCTTCCCACCATGATCCGCCCCCTCCCCGCAGCCCCGCCCAATGCCC